GATATTATCATAATACCAGCGGACAAGGGACGCACCACAGTAATCATGGACAAAGAAGAATACATCAACAAAGCCGAAGAACTACTCGAAGATAAGAGCACATACAAACTGATGGACACAAATCCCGTCAAAAAATTAGACAATCAAATCTCAAAGACTTTAAACAAGCTAGTCAAAGCAGGAGAAATAACAAAACAAGACCAATGGAGAATGAAATCCAGTGGACCAGTACTCCCTCGATTCTACGGTAGACCCAAAATACACAAACCAAACATCCCACTATGTCCAATAGTAGCACTCCCCGGAACGCCAACATACAATTTGTCAAAAGAAATTTCACGAATACTGAGACATCTAGTAGATTCAGCCAAACACTCCATCAAATCCCCAACACAATTCCTGGACCAAATTAGGGATATTCAAATCAACAACGACGAACTCATGATATCCTTCGACGTAACAGCACTGTTCACCTCAATTGAACCACAGCTAGCAAAAGAAACTATATCCCTGCTACTCAACAACGACACAAATCTCACCAAATACACGACGCTTCAAATTAAAAGTATACTGGAACTCATCGATTTATGCCTAACAACATATTTTCAATTCAACAACACAATCTACGAACAAACAAAAGGGACACCAATGGGATCACCAATATCAGGACTGATCGCAGAAGCAGTGATGCAAAGACTGGAAGCCACGATATTACCAGTGATCAAGCCAAAAATTTGGATTCGCTACGTAGACGACACCTTTGTCATCGTCAAAAAGGATGAACTGGAAAACACATACAAACTGATCAACAACGTTTTCAACGACATCAAGTTTACAATGGAACAGGAGTCAAACAACCAAATAGCATTCTTGGATATAGTGATCACTAGAACCGATACAGGAAAACTGGAAACTCAAGTATATAGGAAACCGACCCATACAGATCAAATCCTCAATTACAACAGCAACAACCCAAGAGCTCATAAAATCAACTGCGTACACACATTGTTCAAGAGGGCGAGGACACATTGCAACACACTGGCAGCACGAAAAAATGAAGAGAAATACCTGAAGGACATATTTCAAAAGAACGGCTACCCAATCAACTTCATCAAAAAGCGCCAACGGCACACAGCATCAGAACCAAAATCAAACCCAAAAATCAACAAAAGGATCACCCTACCGTACATACAAGGAATATCAGAAACCACAACGAGACTGCTGAAAACCTTCGGGATAGGTGTGGCACACAAACCAACAAAATCATTACAATCAATCCTATGCAAACCAAAAGATGAAGTAACAAAGGAAAACAAATCAAACATCATCTACAAAATAAATTGTACCAACTGCGACAAACACTACATCGGACAAAGCGGACGCCCCCTCCACCTACGCCTACATGGACATCAATTAGCAGTCAAACGCCATGATATCTCTTCACTTATATCAATACAAGTGGATAACTACGGACATTCATTCGATTGGGAAAATGTAGAAATCTTAGACAGAGGAAACTCCAAAAACACCAGAGAATTTTTAGAAGCTTGGCACTCAGGTCAATCAGCAATCAACAAACATATTGAGATCAATCCAATTTATCAACCAATCAGGAAAATCATGCATAAATATAGGAACAAAAATCAAACCAATGGGAGACACAACCAAAACAAAGAAGTAAACAATGATAAATTTAAGGTCAACAAGAACCAATCAACATCGAGGTGCACAGAACAAGCTGTGAAACACATATGGAGAAATTCGAACACTTCACTTCTATCTGAAGTTTGTGCTGATGATGTCGTTCAGAAGAACGATGAAAGCTCCACGACCAAACCATCCAGCTCAGAGAACAAAACACCACCAAAAAGCACTACATAGCTCACAATCGCATATCAGATAGAATTTAGTCTTCGAGTGACCAGTTGAGCTAATCCGTGTCGGGTAGAAACAGGTATCAACTTCAGTACAATGGAAGATGGTCGCGCGATTTCGTGGAATGATTGATGTTAAACACTAACACCATTGGATGCCGGTTCTGTGATCCAGTAGGTTGAGCGTTCGCGTGCAAGATTGAAGGCCCTGGATTCTAATCCCGGGAGCGGGATCGTGGATGCTCACTGCTGGGGGGTCCCACAATAGGGCGAAACGGCCGTCCAGTGCGTTCAGGTTTCCAAAAGTGGTCTAACATATATCGGTTCATGATCTCAATCAAAAACTTAATAATCTCCACGACCCCTATACTAATAGTTATTTTTAATTGAAATTATATGGTTGTATGGTAGCATCTATCTCAGATACATTTTATCTTTATACTGTTCTGCAAAGATGAAAACCTTTAGATATGGATATCAGGAAAACAATCGTCTCCAGATGAGGTTGTTGAGGAGACTCAGAAAACTCCTCGAAAAAAGCCCGAACGGGCCCTGAAAACTTTTTTCAATTAGCATTCAGTAGAAGTTTCTCAGAAACATCTAGAAAGCGAAGATTCAAGGGTCACATTTCTGATTGGATGATTGCCTGTCCTGCTACTATGTTGAGATGGATTCCAGAACGTCCCAGAAACCCAAGACTATGTGAAACTCTAGAAAAAACCCTCGATTTTTGTACATGACCTAACCTAGGAATAAAGCATTCTTTCCATATTTCGAGTCATTTCTTTCGTGTTCAAGTTGTCGCGTAGATTTAGCCTGAGGTTACTAAAGAAGCTTAAGGAACCGATTCAAACGTTCAGTCAGAAGATTTATCAGAGATATAATAAACTAAACAGAAACAACTTCCCACTGGTTTGTCGATTTTCGATGAAAATGATCTTCTTACAGGTCAGAAAGCTCTATGGGAAAAATACCCTAATAAACAATTTGATGTTTTGATAAAAATTTGCTTGTGTCTATTACTGTGTAGTCTAGGTCAAGTAATTTTGTCTACTAGTTCTACATAATCTAATACTCGCAACTGTTTATTTCCACTGTTACTGGGTTCTAACACGTATTGGTTTCAGCGTTTTAGTTGGTCGATAATTTATGGATCCTACATGTTGTTAAACAAATACCTGTTGTTATAGGAATTAAATATAAATTGAATGTCATGACCCAGATTAGTGCATATAGGTATAACTTTCGAAATACATGCTTCCGATATTCAGTGAAATCGTCAGCATGTCAGCAGTCATATTTTTTGTGAGTTTCATGCTAAATAAAACTTTTACTACGTATTTTACGGTTATTGACAGCTAGAAATCTTCAAAATGAGGCTGATAACTTCACACTTATAGATCAATAAATGTGCACTTATGATTTAAAGACAGTTTTATCCACGAAATTACATCAATTAGAGAACCACTGAAACACTAAGAAGGGGTAAAACACGACTCTATTCTAGATTAGAATTTCTTAATAGTTCATATGAATAAATTAATACGGAACTGAACACAAAACTTATAGGTCGTACAGAAATAACAACTTCATCAGACTTCTCAGTAGAAACCCAATGACTAACGTTCCCAACTCTAGTAACTTTACCCCGTCAGGAGTAAATGCCCTAATCTTGACATGTATGAACTTCAATATCAAAGATTTCTTAACATAGCTCTAAGGATTTATTTCGAAACTAGTGACCAAATGTGCATTGTTTAGTCGGGTGGCTGACGGTGATTTCTTCTATATAAAAACATTTTTCCATCAATAATCGAAGTTTTCCGGCAAATTCCATAAACCATGAAATAGTGAACAACTGTCTCGTCAAGTTCGACATGATTATCATCGCCAGAACTCGAAGACTAAATTCTATCTGATATGCGATTGTGAGCTATATAGTGCTCTCTGATTTTGAGAGGTTTGCCAGCCGATGTCATCTCTTAGTGAATTCTACCTTCGAATTAAATGTTTATATGCGCACCAATCAAATAAGAAAATACATATTTTCTTATGCTTTTTGTATATATTACCAGTGTTGCAAAAGTAGATAATATATATTTCTCGCATTATTTTGTTTGTGTAAGAGGCTTGAGTAAGAGGAGTCACCAAAATATCACTGAATCCCAAACAAGTCACTAGTTAAGCTGAAGTATGTCTATTTCTAGTGGTTGACCAATAGACAGTGAGTTGTCTATCGAATTTCGTCAGGGTAAAAGTTTCAAATGGTTCAAATGGTTGTGGACGGAATGGAAGAAGCTTTTGCTTAACGGGCTTCCGTGTCTTGTAGCAGTGAATCATCAATACCTCCATGCAGAAACCTAGTTGTAATAACGACAAGAGATTAGAAAGAAATCGGTAAATCATAGTAGGATATTATGCTTAGTCCTCAAGATTAGGTCAATTTTTCTCCTAAAGAACTCCTCGAAAGTAGTTTGTTCTAGCTTCGCCAAAAGTGAATTCCAGCATTTGACAACTCTTAAGGAGTAAAAGTTGTGTCTACAGTCCGTTCTGCTGTGTCGTGCCTCTAGTTTCTTCGAGTTACCCGTGGGGTTTTTGTTGGAGTTAAACCTAAGTAGGTGTTTGAGGGGATATCCAGAAGTATTAAGGATACTGTAAGCCATTGAAAGGTCAACTCTAGGACGCCTATGCTCTAATGGGTACAGGTTTAGTGAATGGAGGCGCTTATCATAAGGCTTGAATCTGAGTCCTTGAACTGATTACGTGGCTCGCCGTTGGATACGCTCCTGATAGGAGGTGCTAATTGAATAATGCACACTATGCAACTGGAGCATAAAGCAGTTAATCACTATCGACTGTGTTATTACTCTATTCCCTTTAGGTCAAAACGAATCACTTGTGTCGTATGATTGGGCTTGTTCTTTAAAAATCCCAAGGAATAAAGTTAAGCAAGACATCAGGTTTAGTAAGTTTTTCGGTCACATTAAATAGACAAGCAATACTGATCAAACGTTTGATTTTTCTAAATTTTAGTTCTTTGAGCCGATTTCCGCCTTTTACTATTTCATTCATACCTTTATTTGTTGAAAGAATTTCAATTGTGAGTTTAGCAGCTTCAAGGGCGAATATTAGCCTTGTCACAAGGTGAAAATAACCGGTTCTTATAAGTGGCAACGAAGATGTCGACGTTTGACAGAAAAGCTGAATTAGAGATGAAGAAAGCGAAACTAGCTATTCTTAGGGAAAACAAAATTAAAAGAGACAAGGTGAAGATTGATGGAACAAATGGGGGAACTCAAGATAACCTCAACAACTATGGTTCGGCCCAAGTTCTTAGGATTGAAACTGAAGAGTTATTAAGAACTCTTGGGATTGCTGTTTCTGATGAACCGTTGTCTCAGGTTCCAGACGATCGTATTCTCTCTAAAGGGACTTCGGATCCACCACAGTAAGCTCAAATTCCATCACTGCTATTCTTTAAGTACGAAAACGGATAGCCAGAAAAAACGCAAAAGTTTGGGGTTTTCTCAAATAAACGAAATCAATGTTCCTCCGAAAGAGAATATATCTTATTCTAAAATCACTCAAACACTTGAGTCTTACGTCCCACAACATGGTATGTCTCTTTTGTTATATATTCTCACTACTTAGTTACTAGTGGCGTTCGTACTGGTAAGTTATTAGCTAGGGAAACTTTATCATAGATTCTCCACGCGAGGTTATAGGTTCTCCAAAGTTCATGACTCATTTAGAATGGGATGATGAATTTTCTACTGGTAAGCCGATCATTTTCATATACATATATATTGTTTGTATTTGATTTACTTGAAATAAGCACCTTTGTCACCCAAGTGTTTTGCAGGTTTGTTTACATCAGTGTCACTCCTTTGGTGTGGATGTATACGTACTATGGGCTTATGGTACTTTTGACGCTTTTACTATTTGATACGAAATTTATGTATGTTCTTCAAGCCATTCTTAATATATCAAAATTGTTCTGATGGACAAATTACGTTAAGTTTATTATCTTTTGGTTAATCTTTATTACCTTTGTTTTGGTAGAATATTTTCAGTGTGATGTTTTCCTTATTCTAGCTCTAACTTTTGATGAATCGGTAAATGATACTCTTGATATGACTGCTGTAATCAACGAAATACACAAAATGCCACTGGTTAGTTCAATTGCTGCTACAAAGACTCCTGTAGATACAGAAAGAGAGAACGAACATTTGAAGCCACTAAAAGGTAAGTATTTTAATCCAAGATTTTTTGTGGCGAGGCTTTAATATATGGACGAACAATGAAGGAATCTTAAGTGACCTTGGCAATTATTACCCAATCAGAAGGCAGTTGGTATAAAGTAAAAATATATTATAAGGAACTAATGAATTACAGTGGATATCCTTCTACGTGATTTAAAAACTTGTTAAGGTTTGATAACGGTTCAGATGTTCTGAAATCATAATGCATACGATATAGGAACTCGTCCATATGGCTCCATAATAGTCGTCCTCTGGCGCCGTGGTACGGTCTTAAAAATGCCTTCAATCTCGACCACATGGCTTCAATGTTGTTAGTATGAACGCCGATAGTAGGGTACAGTACAGTGTGCGGACTATTGTGGTGAGATTGTATTTCGTTGTTCTTTATGTTGGAGAAAAAAGTCTGCTCGAACGGGGACTTTCTTCTCTCGATCGCGACTGAGACTGAGGCAAATAATGATAATAGTTGGAAATTGGATTATAAAGGCACCAGTAATACTGGCTGCGGCGTTTGCAGATGTTACTGAAACTTCATCCGTCCAGTGGTATGAGTATTGTCGCGATATATGTGCACTTAAAATGACACGTCTACACGAATCATTCTGAGGAGTCGGAAGTATTGTGGAAATAGATGAAACAGTAGTGCGAAAGCGAAAATACAACAGGGGACGTAGTATCAAGGAAGATTGGGTAAGTAGCACTCCCGTAAATGTACTTGACAGGTACTTGGAACTCATGATCGCTCAACGCAAAAGGGGCATTTCCAGAGGGTGAGAAACCGTCAAGCAAGCACAATAATACCAATTTTAAAGGAATAAGTACAGCTGGGCACTACGGTATATACAGATGATTGGAGAGCGTATGGATGCCTTCATAGACTTGGGTATGTCCGTCATGTCGTAGTGCATAAACGCCATTTTGTCGACCCTACTACCGGGGTTCATACTAACAACATTGAAGCCATGTGGTCGAGATTGAAGGCATTTTTAAGACCGTACCACGGCGCCAGAGGACGACTATTATGGAGCCATATGGACGAGTTCCTATATCGTATGCATTATGATTTCAGAACATCTGAACCGTTATCAAACCTTAACAAGTTTTTAAATCACGTAGAAGGATATCCACTGTAATTCATTAGTTCCTTATAATATATTTTTACTTTATACCAACTGCCTTCTGATTGGGTAATAATTGCCAAGGTCACTTAAGATTCGTTCAAGGTTCGTCAATAAATTAGAGTCTCGCCGATTGGTTTTTATGTCTATTGACGAAAAGTAAGTACCTATTTCTATCACCTAATTTCTAACAGTAAAAAGCTCAGTACGAAATTTTCTATTCAAAGTTAGTTAAAACATATCCATTTGTGGCCTACTAAAATTTCCAGGTACAACTCACGCTCAGTATAGAATACGTTAGTTGTTGCAAACTATAAGAAATATAGAAATACAGTAACTTGGTTAATGAACTAGGAAAAAGCCAACGTAACAAGTTATAACAAAATGGGATAGTGTAGAGTAATTATGTCTGTTACTTTCAAGAAGATGGAGTATAGATTGTATACTAAGTGACTAACTGAATAATATTCTGAAACCAGTGTGTTGATGATTTATAGATAAAGGCAGTGCAAGGAGCTCTGAATTTATTTTATTTTTAGCAATATATGGATCCAAAGTTCAACAAAATAGGGTTTCTTTGACAAGGTACATTTTATTACTAATCCAGAGTAGTTACATTACCAGTATTGGATATCGTGACTGTACTTGATTAGGAGACCGCGTAAAATATTCAGATTCATGTTATATAACTCCTTTTCGTATGGTGGTTTGAATATGAATTGCTAAATCTACTCGTTTATTTGATAAGGCGAGCCTTAATATATTTCATTGTTAGGATAGGGTTCTTTCCCTTAATTTTTGTGCTGATGCGGTATGGCAACTTGGACCGATGCATATATGTGCCTGGCCCTACGTTGTAACTTACTGACTAACCGGCTTCCCTTTAATTCTTAGAAAACCTAATTTAAATTTTTTAAAACCAGTAATATGCTTTATACACGAGTTTCACGGCTAAACTACATGATTGTTGCTGCATTTTTAATGTTACTTGTAAAAGATGCAGTAATTGTTAAATCTATAAAAAATGGTTACACGTAAATATACAGGTATCTAAGAGAATCCGAGTTTTGTCGGATTAATCATATGAGTGCTGACTAAAGTTTTATAGTACTACCTTTTAAGTGTTCCTACTTTCATGAAATCAATTGTTTTGTCAAGGTCAGCTTAACAACATTCCAATGCATGAATTTTTACTGAATGAAGGAATCCCTTTACAAAGTGGAGAGACAAGTTTAAGAACATCTGTTTTGTGTTTATCATAACTCACTGATAAATTTCTAAATACTGGTTAATTCAACTGCTTTAGTTACCAGACGTTGTTTTATCAATTAGAGCATAAACTCTTTTGAAGAGTTGAATATTTTCTGAAAATCATTGCCAGATAAGTACTTATTCGTAGTATAACTCCTAGGTTACTCAGAGACTAATCATACTACAAAAATGAAAATAAAACGATATTGTAAAGAGCCGAGTTTCTTAGTGCTGCAAACAAATAGAAATTAAAGGCTTTTTCAGGGTTACAACAATATGTTTTCAAAAGAAACTTTCATGTTAAAGTTTTCAGACCAATTAAATTACTAAACGTATCAGATGTAAATATTTACTATATTTCAGATCGAGAATGCTTCCAATCCATATACTTGAGTTTCATTAACTTGTTGGCTTGAATACAGGAAACTGAATGAAAATTCGACAAAAATCATAAAGCTTGTGACCGAACTTAGTCGAATCAGATTGGTAAATCTTCGTAACCTATATTTGGTATCTTAGGTGGTAGTGATTCAGATTTATCTTTGATACTGTCCAAGATATGTTGGGATTAATAATATCTTAAGTCTGATCGTTTTCATTGATAGTTTCATGTGAAAGAAAGACTGAAATCCCTCAAAAACAACTATAGTAAATATTTGTTTGGGGAATATTTGCTGTGGAATCTTGATATATAAAATCACTCAGATCAGTAACATCAGTTGGACTTGTAAACGGTGGTTAGCAAACAATTCTTAGACTAATTTTTCCATTTGTCCACCAATTCTGTACCTTTTCAGGCTTATTCATTCTTCGTCTAAATCTTTCACTAGCATGTTATTTTTTGATTATATGGATTTTTTTCTCCCATTTATCCATCTATTCTCTCATGGTATTTATTTTAATATGTTGTTGAGACTAATGACAACTGCGATTAGGCTATATTCCTTCACTTTTATATTTGAACAAGACCTAACTAAAGTACACTCATTTTCTTTCAATCAAAAAGAATGAATAATTTTTGCAGAGCTTTTACTTTGTTGGTTTCATGAAGTTGACCAAAAGTAATTAAAATAATTCATATTGCGCAAATAATAGGATGCCATGGGATTTACCCTCACATTTTATTCGAACTGTACAGAATTGTGCTGATCATTATTTTTGCTCACAAATATAACACATTAGGAGTGCATCTAGTAAAGTTCGCTAGCGAATGTGTGGCCATCTCCAACTGCTTTTGATCGAAATCAAGAAAAGAAATTTCGCATAACCTATACTTCGATTTAAAGAGATTCAAATGGAAAAATTATTCTAGTAATAATGTAGTTCCTCATATACAGGTCGTAGCTATTTCTGTGGTGTTAAACTGTTGGTTACTGTTTGACTACCCAGTAACTTTTCAGTTGTTAGTACTGTTTATCAGGTTGCACTAACAATAATGAAGCTGGTTATGTGAATTTGGTAGTTTTTCCAAATATTTAGGAAAACTCATAGTTTTTGTATATGACTAGATTTCTTGCTATTTTTGCTCCTTAAATGTATCTGTAAAATTATCCTCATTCTATTGTATTCCATTCTTGGTTTGTACAGTAATACAACTCACAGACGAGGAAAGAGATGCAATTATGAGATCAGATAGATTTCATCGTTTCTTTGACAGGGCATCACGACTGATAGAACGAGCATTAGATGAACCTGCAGATATATTTATTGATTATAGTGGTGGAGATCATGATGATACCGGGTATGTGTAGTTTCATTTTTCCTTTAACATTCAAAGGTATTGATCTTTTACGCTTATCACCTGGAATTTAACAGGTTTTAACTAGTTATTTGGTATTTTTATCATTTATGTTTCATGTGCAACAGTTAGTTGTGAGTGTATTTATATTAATAGAACAAATGAATGATAGTTAAGTTTCTTGGCTTTTCTAAGTGTTCTCGTTTATTTAAAATGTCTTCAATGATTTTTTTGATGTTGAATGACTAACCCCAGATTGTATCTTTATGTAATAATCAAATCAGCAAATAACTGACATATATGACTAAATATTTCACTTTTCTACGCAAAGTTTTTTACTAAATACTAGGGTAAGTTAGTAATCCGGGCCACAATCAGTATCAAAATGAAAGTATATGTAATATTTGTGTATGTATTCTAAGAGTAGTTAAGACAAATTATTTATATAATTATTTTCATTTTGTTATATGTTAATTGTATATCACTGCTATTTTCTATCTTGTCATGGAATTTCACATAACAAGGTGATTTTTATGCACCAATCGTTCGTAAATCTTCCTGCTCATGATGATTCAAACTGTAGGTGTAAAAAGTGTGGTAATTGACTAAGTTTTTGTCAAGCAATATATTATTTATCTGTCATAAAATATTTATTTCAATAGTTGAAATCATGAGTCAATTAAACCTAGACCACCATGGAAAACCTGGAAGCACTGAACGGCCGTTTCGTCCTATTGTGGGACTTCTCAGCTGTGCGCATCCACGATCCCGCACCCCGCGAGATTCGAACTCAGGATCTATCAGTCTCACGCGCGAGCTCTTAACCATTAGACCACTGAGCTGGTCGGCATCGAACGGTGTTAATTTCTAACTTCAACCAATCCACGAAGCTTTGCCACCGTACACAATTGTCTTCAGTGAGTTGATATCTTACAACAGACATGGTTGAACTCCACTGGTAACAGCTTCCCACTAGAACTCCAGGAAATGCCTCTTGAAGTCAGACACTAGTGAGCAGATGATTATTATTAGAAGTGGTTTTGTGGAGATTTTTAGAAATTTCAATAGTTGAAATCATGAGTCAGTTGAAGCGCTCGCGCGCGAAACTGATAGGTCCTGGGTTTGAATCTCGCGGGGTAGGGGATCGTGGATGCGCACTGCTGAGGAGTCCCACACTAGGACGAAACGGCCGTTCAGTGCTTCCAAGTTTTCCATAGTGGTCTAGCTTCAATTGACTCATGATTTCAACTATTGAAATTTCTAAAAATCTCCACAAAACCCCTTCTAATAATAAAGTATTTATATTTACGGGTATATCTTGATTATATACAGATTCTGTGGACAATACTATAAAATTAGTGTTTAGTGTCGGGATGAAGATAAGAGTCCTTATGTGGTTTTCCGTTGTATATTGGATTTCTGTGTGTTTGGAATTGTTTGGTGATTAGCTTGGATATGATATTTTATTTCCTTTCTTGAAACATCTTAGATATAATTAAACAAGTTTTTAAGCAAAGGAATTTTATGCTGAGTGTTTATTTGGTTTGTTAACTGTTGTCATTCGTATGTGAATGTTTTTTAATATTTGTAAACGCTTTGGATGCAGGGTTTGTTGGGAATACTGGATCTTCAAATACACCATATTAGATAGAAATCAATTTTAAAATTCACGGATTGATTTAAAATAATTCTTTCTGTCTGGCTTCCATTCAATTTTCATTTGTATTGATTTTTTCAATCTGAAACTAATTGTTTGATTTTTTAAAGCATCCTCATTTTATTCATAAATTCACTGTGATTTCGTACACGAGTAACGATTAGTGAATCTGATAAATTTTGTGTTTAACAATCGTTGAACTTAATCGGCATATAATTACATTAACTCAAATTTAAGTAAATTCTTCAGGGATCTTGACCAATACACATACTTTATGAGACTTCTCTCTGTTCCAGTCGCGCGGGAGATTATCATTGAAGTTGTTGGGATGTTCAAGAAAATATCCCAAAAATTATTCTGTTATGTCTAACGCTATCCTTATTGGTCAATATTTACTTCACGTGTCGTTTTCCTACTGGTCAGTATTGTACAATGTTATTTTCTATTTTATGGTACGATGTGGTCTGCTTGATTGGTATATAAACAGAGTATGTTTGAAATATGGTGATTCATATCTCTGAGGCTGAGACTTGCGTTCTGGACTCAACTGGGTGGGCTGGACAGGGAAGCGGGACCAATCAGAGCCCTAGGCCGTTCTTACGTGTTTGCGCGTCTTTGGTCCGATCGATAATTCGCTGTCCTCTGATCTACAGCATCACAGTTATAGCAGAAGTGTTATGTATTAGTCGTTTGATCTGTCCAGTTTTCGTAAAATCTATTACATATTGTTAGGAACTCCCAGTCTCCTATAGTTCAAAATTACCTCATCTCTCCAATCTCGATTCTCATAGGGTTTCAAAAATTGAAATCTCGTTCTATTTTCTACTGAGGCCTGATTGTAAAATCTGTGACTTACTCAATAAATGTAGATTAGCATGTAGTACATAAATTTGTTGGACGTTACTAAGTTTCATTAAAATCTGTACGAATTTCAGCCGTGAATACGTCTTAGATACCCACCTTTCAACTATTGGATGAAAGATTTAAATTTAGATTCACCTACCGAAATTTTCAAGATATTTTCCCTTAGGAAGTATCACATAAAGGTTTTTATCCTACGCCTTTAGATTTATTTTTGGTATCAAATTTGTTAACTATTATAAAATTAAAAAGGTTCTTTCGTTTTAATAATCGATGCCTTAAAACATCGTTTTCCCGCTTTCGGACAATTGAATCATCAGAGCGAAATAGATAATAATAGTGATGGTAAGTATGAGCCAGTAGGGACGATTGATGCCAGTATTATATCTTCCAGATCATTTTTTCTTGAAATAGGTTTATAATAAAATATTAGTTAAATCAGAACACTAAACTATTTCATAAAGTGTTTCATTATTAATCAGGATAATGGAAATAAGGTGTAATTTAGCTCTCTCCCCTTATGTCCAGGTTCCTGCATTAGGTTATGAGCTGTATACGCATTAACTGCAGTATGCACAACAACAACATCATGCCGGTAAGAATCTAGGTAGTAGAAGGTTAGATTTTTAAATTCAAACCTACAAGATACTAAATATTGATAATCAAATCTAATCACACTTCATTTCGTTGTATTATCATAAATTCTTTGTTTTTTTGAATTCATCCTATCGTTAGTATATGGTGTTAAGTGATGAAGTTAATGAGTTGCTACTGTTGATATCTGGTAATGGTTTCCTAAACATTTGAAAACAACACTGCAGCTGTATAGTTTTGGCTTTGAGTTTAATCTATTTTTACTGAAGTCGTTGTTAGCTTAGCTGAGTAAACTTTGTAGTAGCTGAAAGCTGTTCTATTACTATTGTCATTAATTACGGTTTAATGGTCTAAGGATTTGACTTTAAGTCATCGCGTCATGTGTTTAAAATCCACTCTGGGTTCGAAGTTTTGGACAACCGACTAGTATTGTTCGTCCTCACAGAATAAGTTTTGCTTATGTTTCAAGGTATCCATTGCCATATGGTTTCATTCGTCTTCTGTTTCATTTGATAATAAGTATTTATTTCCAATTTTGAATTTCTTATAGAAATACCCAACGTCATCAACTTGTAAGATTTAGTCGTGACTTTTTTGATGATCGGTGGTCAAGAAGACGCCTAGTCACAGCATTGGATTGGTCACCAATTTTTCCTGAGTTACTTCTTGGTGCTTATCATGCAAATGATGAAGCTCCACATGATCCTGATGGAGTATGTTTAGTGTGGAACTTGAAATTTCAGAAAACAACTCCAGAGTATATTTTTCATTGTCAGTCTGCTGTTACTTCAGCAACCTTTGCAACTTATCATCCAAATTTGATTATTGGTGGGACATATTCTGGACAAATTGTACTGTGGGATAATAGGTATCTGTACGGTATTTTGTTTGTTTCTTGTTACGTCCTAATGGATTTTTTGTTTGCTAGCATTGTCAAGTCATGCTTTATATTTCCTGGCTCTTTTATAGTAGTCAGCTACTCATTAACCGTTTATGTATGGTTGCAAATATTTTGCGCAAACTGACGGATGTTATTAAATCACCACACGCTGTATAGGTCCTTTTTGAACACAAACACAAGAATAGCTTCATTCTTGGATTATGGAGCAATCATTTTTTCCATACACTTGTAGATAGTCTAGTCACTTTGAAAGAGCTAACGGTTTCATATATATCCTCATTTTGTGTAGGTACTTGCAATGCGACTTATTTAAACCCAATCATGTACAGATAAAATTTGTCAGATAGCACACTGATAATGTCTGTTCTAAGTTGCAATGCTGACAAGTGTTGAAGACGGTTGGAAGAAAGTTAGGGGCAGCCAAACCAAAACGTGGTAGCAATCCTCGAAGTCACTAACTTCTAGTCTTAGCCATGTTGGTAGATACAGACTACTTGGTTGGGGTCCGCATGACTATCGTAACCAATGGTTGGAGGCTTGATAAAGAAACCCCTGCTTTTCAAACGAATGATTCTACCCATTGGTTAGATAATTGACTTATTCAAGTCCCAAACTAGCACGACACCATGTGTCGTCGGTGTTTGGTTAAGGCGATTCAGTTGGTAGTAGGATTAAACATACTTCACTAGATTAGGTCAACTAAAATGCATAGTTTCCCATTTCCATTATTTTTTTATTTTGATTGAACCCTGAAATATAATGTATAAGTCCGTGTTAAGCTACTAGTTTTTGACGGATGATGTGAGTTTGAATCCAGTTGGATGTGGTGTACAATGTTTCACTTTGACCGCTGTGGCTAATAGTATCCAATCCATGTTTCTCCAGTCACTTCTACCCGTATTCAGTTTCACGATTATATGCTATTAATATTTAACCTCATGTGTTCTTGTATGATATACATTTATTTGATAAATGTTATCGTTCTACAACACTACTGTCTCGGATATTTCTTAACTTTACGCATAAAACAAAAAAGAACCGACCTTTTCATACGTTTACTCCATATATCTGGTTATCTATTTTTATGATAATTTGACTCATATACAAATAATTCATTTCAATTTTACATCTATTTGGACTCGGTTGGAAGTAAATTTTCATATTTAGTATTGAGTAGACATTAAGAGCAATAGAGTATTTCGTCGTGTAAATGAACCTATTCGGTAGTTCAAGTTGTTATTACCACTGTATAAATACTTTATAGCTTGTGTAGAGTTTAATCTCCGCACTATAAATTTACTCACAGTTGGTGTACAGCTATGTTATCCTATGAATATTATAAATCAGTTTATGTTTTGCCTTTTAAATCCAGATTATTTGAGGTCTTATAAAGTGGAGAGAATCTCATCATTACTTTATTATCATTATCAGTTTTTGTTATCAAGTGTGATATTTTACTCGGATTTCATTTCTCTTAATTTATATTTTAGATCAACCAAGCGAACACCGGTACAACGGACACCATTATCAGCAAGTGCACATACACATCCAGTTCATGCAGTTATGATTGCAGGATCATTGAATGCACACAATTTGTTAAGTATAAGTTCTGATGGAAAATTATGTACATGGAGTTTAGATATGCTGGGTCAACCTCAACAAGCCATGGAATTAACACATAGGCAAGCTCGTACTGTAGCTGCAACATGCATGTCATTCGTAGATGAGAATGTTAACAATTTTTTGGTTGGGTCAGAAGATGGACGAGCTTATGCTGGTTCGCGGCATGGAAAGTAATTTAAAGCTTTTTTTAAACAATTTGTATGGATCATTTAAAAAAGAAATACGGATTAAAATTGAAACTTACACGTAGCTTTCACTCGTAACTAAAATTCATGGTTGCTATATTATGTCCTTACTTTTTTCCTATCATTGAGAACTTACAAAATATATTTCACTACAGATTTAAACTTTTATTTGACCAACTCAGGCAATTAATATGCTGGACTAAATTTGAATCTGGTTTATACCATTTATCTCCTTGTAGTTAGTTAATTCGTTATCATAGTTTATTACATAACCTTTTATCCAAAAAGTACATTTCTAACAATTAAAATTTTAACAAAATGAAACAAAATAATCAGTTAATCCTGTTGATATAGAAGATACTTGCTTCATCAAGTGGAAAATGAAAATAATAACGTTGAATTTATCATCAAGTTCATCTGTTTAAATTCCTTTTCTTCTTAATAACGTATAAAGAAAAAATCAATAAAGACAGAGTAATAATAAAATGAAAAAGAATATGATTAATGATGTTTGATTAATTGATCAGCAAACGAATGATCCAGAATCGGACAAAGGTAAACAATGAACTCGCCGTGCCATTTTAGTAGACTTCATGTTATGTCGTCTAACATCTCCAACCATTAATTTTTACTTTCCATAGAGCCTCATACAAAAGGCCTATGTATGACTCTTCCAAGAAGCTAATGACTTCATGAATTGTTGTCTCTTTTTGACCTAAGATTATTCACACCTCTAAATATCAATATATATATCAAAATAATCTGAATGAAATTGCTGGATAAAAAATATTTATAAGTGCATTTTAAGCAGATATGTGTTTAGCCTTAAAACCTAATAAAGCAAATATACATCACAGCAAAAAGAAGAATATTTTCAGTCTGTTGACAGGTTTTAATACTGGCTGTATACGCGTGTTAGTAGGGAAGTAGAAGGATTTTAAAAAAGTACAAAACATGAAAGTGATAATATTTGCAACTTGTTAGTCAATCTCTAATTTTCAGATGGAAAGAATAATCAAAGATTTTAAGTTTACTTGATTTTGTTGTGGATTAACGTTTAGTGTAGACTTTCTAATTTAGATATAGTGAAGTTGTCTACAATGATTTATACAAAACAATTACTTTACTTCATCCTTTTTTTGTATTAGTTGGTAGATTGAACATTGTGTTTTAGAAAGTTTGGAGGCGAAACTATAATTAATGAACGAGCCAATCAGATTTAGGGTAACAGGTCTTGGGTTTCGGCGCAACATTCATTCATCCATTCGGATAAGTAACGTTTCGGCATTTAAGCTGATGTCAGTTCATGATGAAAACCGTAAATCTAATCCCTAACCCTAACCACCAACTGTAATTCATTCTAATTCTTCACACTAGCTTTTAACCCCCATGTAGTCCTAGCTGTTAGGTAGACACTCTTAAGGTCTCTTTAGCGTCACTCAAATGTCGTCCATAAATTATAGTCTTATCGATAGTTATCCTCTATATTTTACCCAATACTTTTCATCCATCTAACATGACTAGTTTTTTTCTATTGGGATATATAACATGACGTTTTATTATGCAGTGATTTTCCGGAATCAGGGTTTCCCAACTCCCTTAGGTGAATCCTCCCTTTCCACCAATCCAGTTAAAGCGCCGGACATTCGCTTTTCGTCTTCTCAATTTCGTAAACAACAACCCTGCCACGAGAAGGCAGTGAGTAGCACTTCCACGGCAGTGGTTGTATGTACGTGGCTTTGTGAGAGCATTTCGAAAGGGAGAGCTGACTCTCCCCACCCTCGGCCTTCTAGTGCATTTAGGGGTATTTTATTTAGTGATTAGGAGTTTTGATCATATGTACAGTATGGATTATATATTTTACATCTTGTTAATCTGCGTTGTCGATACCTTGTGTTTTTTAGTCAAGCAGGTATCAGCGATGCTTTTGAAGGTCATCAGGCTCCTATCACATCAATTTCATCTCATCCACTCAGAGATTCTGTGACAATTTCACCACTGTTTCTTACTACTTCTCTTGATTGGTCCATAAAACTGTGGTCTGTCAAGGAAACCCGTCTTATATGTTCATTTGAAGAAGCTTCAGATTATGTTTTTGATGCTCATTGGTCGCCTATGCATCCAGCTGTATTTGCAACTGTCGATTGTACAGGAGGCCTTGATTTATGGAATTTAAACCAAAACAGCGAAGTAAGTTTTTGATGTTGTTTTCTAGATATTTTCATTTCTTGAAGTATTCTTAAAAGTATTATTACTTACCTTGAACAAACTAATTCTGTCCCAATAACATTTTTTCAAGAACTAAATAAATAGTTAATTAAGGTAATCAATACGTATTTTTGTTCCGATTTATTAAGCCATTCGTTCTTTTCAGCCATGAAGTAGTATTAATGAATGAATTTAAAAATTGCTTTTACCCACTCATACATATTTTGGGATTTCCTGGAAAAAATATATACCCAATGAATCGGATTTTGAATAAATTCATTTCATTTTTGTAAATGAAGTATTAATTTCCGATTGTTCCTCTGTTTATGCAACAGTTTAATGAACAAGAATGATTAAATTGTGTGTGACTGAAAACATTTTCTAAATTCATGATTACGTTAATGTAAATTTTCTAAATGGAGATTCCATTGTCTTAATTAAGGTTCACATCCGAATATCCATTTTGGCTTACCAGGCCGGAAATCACGTGCATAGACTAAGTCAGCTGCTTTGAATTCTCGAATCTTGGGGCAATTCTCGTTCCTATTTTTTTGTAGTCCACTCATTGTGTCTTTCGGGTACAAAACATCAAAAAATGTCCTAATTGGTCAGCCAAATATTATTTTGGCTGATGATTTAATCATATTGCAGACAGTGCTCAACGACGTTCCCATAAACCAAATTTATTTATCCAATCAATAAGTTGGTATGACAGATCCCAGATACATAACATTTTCCGGTCATAGTCTTGTCACCTAATGTGAGAGGTAGCTGCAATTTTCAAAGACGAGTAATGTTAGTTCCTGACGCACTCTTAGCATTATAATGTGTAGGTTGATATTGAGGTCGACCAAGTGTTATCCAGGGCTCTCTAGAAATTAATGTTATGTCAAACTCTGTATCAATTTTCAGCTTGACCGGTTAACCATTAAACAAGATAGTTGCGTTCTTCCTGTTAGATGGAAATTGAACACCTTTTGTGGCAAAAAGAACATTCAAATCATGTTGTATCTCTAGATGGTAGTTGGAGGTAGTTGACAGGAAACCCTGGACCCGGGTTTCGTGCTACTTGGCGCTCGTCGGTAAGGTGTATCTGTAATCTTGAGGGAACTGATGCTCCCTAACGAGTTCGATCCCGTGTCACCCAGCTTCACAGTCAGAGATGTTACCAGCTGACAAATACATCCGATTGAGGACCAGTGTCATAAAAGCCTACCTACTCTCCCACTTTCTCTTTGTTCTATTGTTTGACTGGCTTGTGAATACCTCGACATCTGACAGGAAGCACAGAATAGAATGGACAGGTTGGATGCAACTAGACGATTTGTACTTCGCAAACGACCTGGCCCTTCTATCCCATACACATCAAGAAACGCTGGTGAAGACGACCAGAGTAACAGCAGCCCCTGCATAAGTAGGCCTCAATAAACACAATGGAAAAAGCAAGATCGTCAAATACAACACGGAGAACATCAACCCAATCACACTTGATGGGGAAACTCTGGAACAGGTGGAAACGTTCACGTACCTGGGCAGAATCATCGATGAACATGGAGGATCTGATGCAGCTGTACAGACGAGGATTGGCAAATTAAGGACAGTATTCCTATAATTGAAGAACATACGGAACTCAAAATAACTGTCAACCAATACCAAAGTGAGAATCTCCAATATATTTCTAATGTACGAGCCGAAACTTGAAGAACTACTACAACTATCATCATAAAAGTACAAGTATCTACGAACAATTGTCTACACAAGATACTCAGTGTCTGTCGTTGGCCGGATACTATCAGCAGCAGCCTATTGTGGTAGAGGGGAAAGCAGCTTCCAGCTGGATAAAATATTAGGAAGACGTTGGAGGTTGATAGAACATACATTACAGAAATCATCAAACTGCGTCACAAGGTAAGCGCTAACTTGGAATCCCGAAGGAAGACAAAAAAGTGGAAGGCCAGAGTACACATTGCGTTGAGAGTTGGAAGCAGACATGGAAAGGACCAATAGCAACTGGAAAGGACTGCCCAGAACAGAGTTGACTGGAAAATGCTGGTGGGCGGCCTATTCTCCTTTATGAGGGGTAAAATGCCTAAGTATGTATGTAATTTAGTAATTACTGATACAGTAGTGAAGGAGAGCACAAGTGAGGACAACCGAATTATTTTCAGTACAAAATTACAGAGTTACTTGGTCAAATAGAAAAACCATACTATAATACCTAATTAGCAAAATGTTCAGTAATTGTCTCGGACTTCATTGTTTTTGCATTTCCATACTAATTGCTTTCTATTCCCGTTCTTCCTTTCTTGATCTTCTCAATCTTCTGTTGCCAGACATTACATTCCTGACTCGCGTTATATACTGCTTATGTCAATATAAGTAGCACGCACCACAAGACTAGACTATGATTATACAGTCATTGTTATTATTACTTGATGACTGATTAATTTTTTATCTTATTGTGAATATTTCGGTTTTGAATATGATTATTTGGATCAATAAACTACCTTTTCGCTTCTGTTTGTAAATAGACTAATTTTTATTTCTTATTAAATATGGTAATTTCAGATTCAATTTCATAATAATAAACATATTACCTTGTTTAATTTTTCTTAAATATCCATTGCTTACAATCTATATTGTATCATCACTACCAACAGTACAGATGATAATTAGACATACTTTCATTCATAGTGAAAGGTAGTAATTAATTAGTCAGTCCAGTAATCGATTACGATTGTCAGTAACAAGTAGTGTAATATTGTAAAAATTGTAAGGATGTGGAGTTAAATGAAAGAGTGGTGCCAAACTATTACAATGGCATATATATACATCTATACTAAATATTTTGAAAAAAAGCAATAGTAATGTTGGCTTATTCCTGTGGGTGTTAGAATAATGGATTATTGAATTTTGATAGTAGTTGAGTAGTTAAGCGATGAAATTCATCAAACCAAGTTTATCAAAATGAGTGTATTGAAAAGAAACAGTGTAATTTAAACAATAATGTAATCAAATAAAAGGCAGAGTATTTTAAAGGCAGGTTACAACAACAAAACTAATTATGTAGTAATAATTCATTTCATAAGTTTAGTGTCTTCAGTATACTGTAGGAAACTTGTGTTATTTTGTTTGTCAATTAGAACTATTACATTTTTTGTGTTGATCAAACATTAAACAGTTAGACTATTAAGAGTGATTGATCAGCTAACACGTCACGAAATCAAAGAAACGTGTTTAGGTTATTCAAGAATGGTATTTTTTCTTTCTTTGTCATCTTGACATAGTTACTTTGACAGGTGCACATGGTTGGGAAAAGAGATATGTGTAGATTTTTTAAACTTTTAGTTAAAACACAGTGCATTAATGCATTCTCTATGGATGGTAACGACAGACTTTATTTAGCAATTTTGAAATGCATTATTGGGGATTTTTTAACATATCTGATACGAAAAATCAGAACACTGGGGGGGAATCCTGCATTCATCTATTTACTACTTGTAATTCTGGTCACCAATTTATAGTTATATTCTTTTTTAAAAACAGTGGAATTTGAATAAAGTAGATGTTACCATCAAAGGAAGGTAACACTGTAGGTAATAAAATAAATTAAAAATAAGTTTTATGTAAATAGATTGGTCACTGAGTTGTAACCGATGTCATGGTGTTTTAGTCCTTAATGCTGATCGAGGTCTATCAATCATGTTGCAATGTACCCACACTAGTCTAAATGACTATATCACACAAACACACACACACTGTATTAAGATGTTAGGTAATTACGGGCAGTCGGTAAAACATCAAGGTCCAGGGTCTCCATCTGTGTCTACCTTCAACTACCTAACATAGACTACATCTGGTTACTTTAATGTAATTAATAAATCCGTCTATACTTTTGCCTGTGTATTTTCATATGAATTAAAATGAGTATATATTTCCTGATAAAGTTCTATGCTGAATCAGGCTTTTTATCCACTATAAATATTTTGGTTGGAAATTTCGTCAGAATAAAACCATTAATTTCACGGCAGGAATAAAACTTTTTAACCTGCGTTAATGAAAGTTTTTTTAAAGAATCCTTTCATGATTGTTATCTCATTCAATTCGTCAATAATATACCATTGATATTATTGCGACATACTTGATAGTTTTATCTACTACAATAATGATATACAATACTGATCTCTTTAAATATTATTATCGAGTATTATGTGTATTTATTGCTATATTATTTTCATTTTTACACATACAAATTATCACTATAGTACTACATATCTAGTTAGATAGTATATCGATCAGAATTGTTACAATTTATTCAATCACGGTAAAGGACAAATTAGATATGAGATAGAATTTGACTCAATGTGAATAGTTGTACCAATAGTAGTATAGTAATCAAAGAAAAAATCGAGTGAATATATATACCTGACAATGACTACAGAACAACCTGGATTTTCAAGAATGTGAAATAACATTGAGCGTGAAAACATTTCCACTGATGTAATAAATTTTTATTTATGTCGCCTAATGTTTATTGTTTTTGCTGGCTTCAACCTTAAGGTTCGCATCATTTTACATACTTTCGAATATCATAAATATGTCTTGATTTAATCCTAATTTTAAATGTCATTGAGGTACACAGTTAAAAACTATAAATATATTCAAAAATTGTACACTTCCTTTTGAGTAAGATATTATTGGTTGCAAGGTTATCTGTCTACCTATCCATTATCCATAGATAATTAGGAAATCAGTTTGCCTATACTTCATATTTTTGGTGATGTTAATTTTTCTCAGCTGGATGGTTTAATCGCAAGGCTTTCGTTATCGTTCTAGACACCATCACCAACACATCTATTTGAACACAACATCACCAAAACGCCAGCTTATGCTGTAAATCTCTTTCATCATTTCGATATACTTCATATTTACACAATGTAGTCACATCTCGTAAAAGTTGAGGCACTTATTCTATTTTGGAGGGGATTTGAACGTTTCAGCAGTTATTCGAATGTCATCCTTACAAATATGCTTACTGATAATACTGTAAATGGCATGAAATATGCAATAAAATTAAAGTTTGGCGGAAATGCTTATTAATAATCAGTTATAGTATTAATATAAAGAATGAATTAAAATTCAGTGAGTTGATTTCATTGGTACAAAATAAATATAGGAATTCAAGTTTATTTGGGATTATTAAAACGGTTGACGATTAATTAATGATCCCTTCTTTTAATTGTTATGGTATATGTGAATCTGAATAAGATAAAATCGTTATATATATGGATCACTGTGAATTCAATTTTTGAGGCCTATGATACGATATGAAATATTTTATATATAATGAGATAGTACACACCATTTTAAAATTTGACAATCCGAGCTAGTGCGGATCAACATTTCTTCATAACAAAGAACATTATTTCCATTGGTTCGTGGAATGCCTTTTAAAGGATTTAACAAAATACTCGACCTTTGGAATTTATGAAATATTGGGTTGCATTTATAGAAAAATGATGTCTCAATAAAAGTCGCTATCTATAGTACGATGGCTAAATGGTTACTTTTCAAACAAGCTATCAGTATTAATTGTGAGTCAAGTAGACTACATAAAGATTTTGCACAATCGTTTCTCCAGTTGTACTTCACTCATGTTCGGTACACTGAAAGGCGTAGTATTCTTATACTACTTACGTTTAAGAGAACACTGTCAAGTCAACTTGTCTTTTATATGTCGGTAAATACATTCTCTAGAAATTTATATTCGATGAAGCAATAGCAAACTTGTTTTGTGTGTTTATGTAACAAACAGTGGATATTTTGAGTATCTGAATTTACATGGCTTAATTTTTTTATCAGATAGTGATGCTTGATATTGCTTATGGAGGACGTGATAGTAGTAATTCTCCTATCAAAAGTAAATAGGGTTTCGATTTGACGTTAGCTGTTGATATCACACGCAATACTGTCATCTCTATGCACTTTGTTCATGTGTTTTGTCAATAAATGACTCAACTCATTGGAATTGATGTTTGGCGCCTCTTTATCCTCAATGATTGAGCAACCGATAATTAACTCGATTACGAGACCATATCGAAATTCAATAAAATATTCAATTCAACAGTTTAATCTCTATATATGTATGGTAAGCTTAACACACATCATACTCGTGCATGATAAGATTATGAGCTATACTCGTTGAGCGGTTATTAATTAGAGGGTTGCGAACTCACGACTCAGTGGTTAGAATGGAGTCTACAAACAAACATATATAATCACTAATTTGTTCTTAGATAATAAGATTTATTGGTTTTTCTACAGGTCCCATCAGTTCGTACAGTGATTCCCGGCCAACCATCGTTAAACAAATGTCGTTTCCATTCATCTGGTTCACATATAGCCATTGGTGATGATAATGGACGTATTCACATGTTCGACTTGAATGAAGTAAGTAGAATTATTAAGACATCATTAGTTAGGTATTTCTTTTATATTATTCTTGGTCAGCTATCACTCCAGTTTACGAAGCAGCGAGACTTAGTTTAAGCAGTCTATTGTCTTAAATCATCAGGGTCATAAATAGTTGAGAAATGAAAGTTCCTAGGTTTCGTGATGAATGTGCTCACCACGTTCCATAGTATGGATACACCTACCGACGCCAAAACATTTGTAGTTAGGTTCCTGAAATGTTTTGTAAGCGGGAATTTACACGCAGTAATTATATCAAGAATGTCATATAGCGACAAAACTACAATTACTATTGTGTGTGTATCAATGGTCTGCCGGTACCTGAATTGTCGGAGTTGGGAGATAGTGACTTTTTGGTCAGTAAAAGTTGTCATCATATAGATGAATTTTGTGCATATGTGACGTACGCAGTTACATGGTAATATCATGTTACTTGGAATGTTAGAACTGTCACTCGACAACTGTAGGGATTCTAGCTTGTGACGTCGAGTGTCATAGCTCCGAATAGTTCGCATTGGTCCAGGTAGCTTCACTCTTTATCTTCCCCTCGGTTTGGAATCAGCATCTCTTCGTACACACTTTACCAAACCATATTCCCTAGCTTTAGCCTTTCTTTCTATCATTGATACTACATTGCCTATTTTGTTATTTTCATCTCGTCATCGCAGTTGAGCATGGCAACTTACACCAACACGTAGATGTGCCAGGCTTCTGTGTTGATGTCTATCTGGTTGCTCTATATTTGTCTGAGGCACTCCATCTAGCGCTACATCATACTAATAAAAACAATAGGATCGGGAAGTATCTCGTAATAAACCCCAATAATATTCCCAAGTGAATACAGTCCCGGTTACATATGGTTGATAACTTCACAAGGAAATATCTGCTTGTTTTTATTCTTTAGACAATGGCAATCCCTCATGCAGACGAGTGGACGATGTTTTCACATACAATTAGCGAACTTCGACAGCTTGCAGTCGAACAGAAAGAGAACGATACCGATGCTTTGTTTGGACAACCCACTGTGCCGCCTATACCTGTTATTCACTGAACGGGAGCAATTTACTCTACTAAACGACAATTCCTAACCTTCTGCATAATTCCCTGTATCGCATAATAAATGTCTACTGATCTTACGGTGTACTACTCGTTTTAACTTCAAAATCAGCCTCTAATTTTCGACAGCTTTTACTGTGATTTCAAGGTTTTAAGTATTCCGAACCAAAATAGCTATATATTGTGATGATATTTTTGTCAGTTTGGTACTATCACATGTACGGAGCTAACACAAAAATTGCTCACAAAAGGGTGTGACCGACCTCAAGCAGTTGTCCCTTTGGCACTGAGGTCACATTCTCTAGTCACCAAAACCACCTACCTCTAATCCAATTTCCTTTTCAGGTACCTCCAGAAGAACCCTCCCACGGTGTGGGCAACCGTAAAGTGATAACCGCCCTCACATCTCTAACAGCACTCAAGACCACTGTATCCATAATAAACCTCCGTCTTCACTTCCTATTATTCCTCCCACATCGACTTTCACCTCTAAACTTCCTTTTTCGGCTTCCCTCTCAAGTGTCACCATAGCCAACGATTCTAGTGCACAGAACTGCCCCAGGTCTACTGAAACCTCGCTCCAAACTACACATTGGAGCCTTCAACGTACGCACTCTATGTCAAATCGGTCAACAGGCTTCCTTGGCTAGAACCCTAGAATCTCGTACCATCGATGTATGCTGTGTCTCAGTGTGGTCATTCACTTGACCTCACCTCGGCAAAACGGAGAGCCGACAAGATACACCCTCCGTGTATCTGGTGACCCGACGGCCAGCTCTCGTGGACTGGCAGGAGTAGGGATAGCACTAAGCATGAGGGCGGAACAAGCACTGTTAGAGTGGATCCCCGTTAACAGTCGTTTATGTGCTGTCCGGCTAAACGGCTCCGTAAGAACTCGGAAGGATAGGGACACACGTCATTGTCTTCTCGTCGTTTCTGCCTACGCTCCCACCGACTGCAGCTCAGATGAAATGAAAAATGAATTTTACAGAAAGCTAACAGTTCAAACATAGTACTCGTAGCAGGTGATTTTAATGCCCAGATAGGTAGTTTAAACCAAACAAAAAGGCATTTAGGTGGGTATTTTAGTATTCCGGCACAGCGAACAGGTAATGGTGATCGTCTGTTGCAACTATGCTTAGACAATCGTTTATTTTTAGCAAACAAATTTTAAGCATAAGGAGAAGCATCGTCTAACATGGCGATCCCCTACACCAAACTAATGATGGACTCAAATAGACCATATTGCCATCAGTCATCGTTGGAGAGGGTCGGTAGAAGATTGTCGCTCATTCTGGTGTACCTGTTTGGACTCCGATCATGCCCTAATACGGGCACGCATCTGCTTGCGCCTCACTGGACGCAAAATAGCCACACTAAAAAGACCCATTAGAATTGAATTGAGTAGCGAGAAAACCAAAAGTAGGTTCCAGGAACAACTGAGTTCACAATTAGGTAGTTTTGGAAACGTGGTTGACCCAGACGTTGCTTGGAAAGCTATACAAACATCTGTGGAAACAGTAGTGAAATCTATCAATGATTTAAACCACAGGGTTACAAAGAACCAATGGATTTCCTCAAGGTCTATTGCACTGATGGATTCTCGTAAACTCATCCCATCAGGCTCTGAACACGATGAAGAGCGAAAACAAATCAGATCTAGGTTAAGCAAAAGTCTAAGGAACGACCGTGAGCAGTGGTGGGCAACGAAAGAGATGGAAAAGGCGGCGGCTATAGGGAACACAAGACAGCTCTACAGACTAATAAAAGAAACTGGAATTAATAAGTCAAGTGTAAGTCAGACTATTTCGGAAAAAGACGACACCGTCATCTGCTCTCAGTCCAGACGTTTAGAACGATGGGCGGAACATTTCAGAGAACAGTTCAACTGGCCTTCAGCTACTCTACAACTACCCTCCATTCCCAGACAGTGTGAATGGAACACTGAAGTAGGTTCCCCAATCCTAGCCGAAGTTCAAAAGGCTATAACTAATCTGAAACGAGGAAGGGCAGCTGGTCCAGATGGATTGGTCCCATAGGTCTTTAAGAATGGTGGTCCAATTTTAGCGATTAGGTTGACTAATATTTTAGCTAAGATCCGGAAGTTAGACGTTATCCCATCTGACTGGTCACAATCACTTATCGTCCCAATATATAAGAGAAGGTTAAAATCAGCCTGTGACAACCATAGAGGGATTAGTTTAACTAATATAGTATCTAAAATACTAGCCTCGATAATTATCGGACGCCCAGCTAAGACTCATGAACTGCAAACACAAGAGAGTCAAGCTGGCTTCAGACCTGGTCGTGGCTGCATCGACCACATATTCACCATTCGTCAGGTTCTGGAACACAGGCATACTTATCGGCGTCCGACAATGGTGGTCTTTCTTGACTTGAAAGCAGTATTTGACTCCGTATACCGCGAGATCCTGTGGCAGTGTGTCATTGAAATGCGTACCTCAGAGGTATATAAACCTTGTGAAGGCTCTTTGCTCGAACACTACTAGTCGAGTCAGAGCTCATGGCGAACTGTCATCTGCTTTTGCAACTTCAAGTAATGTCCGTCAAGGCTGTCCACTTTCTCCATTGTTGTTTAACTTCATCATAGACCTACTGATGGAAATAGTCTGTCAATCAGTAACAACGTAGAACTTCGTACGTACGTAGATCAGTTCGAGTTGCCATACTACATTAGCACAGAGATGGAAATAACATTCTCGTCGACTGAATTCTCGGGTATTGATCTCCTTCCAGGAGGTCCACTTATCGACTTAGAATACGCAGATTATGTAGTCCCGTTTGATGAGTACTCTGATAAAATGCAGAGTCTTTTGATAGCACTAAGCAACAATGCCAGGATTTTTGGGATGAGTTTCTCCCCCTCTAAATGCAAGTTGTTGCTTCAGGACTGGACTGCGTCAACACCTGAACTAAGGATAGGGAGTGAATTAGTCGAACACGTTGACAACTTCATTCATCTTGGAAGTCCGATCAGCCCTAATGGGTTAGTGTCTGACGACATCTCAGCACGGATTCTAAGAGCTCATTTGACTTTTGCCAACTTACGTCACCTTTGGCGAAGGCGAGATATCCGTCTATCAACAAAAGGACGAGTATACTGTGCGGCAGTCCGTTCTGTTTTAATTTACAGCAGCGAAACAGGGCCATTAAGAGTAGAAGACACTCGTAAGCTACTAGTATTTGACCACAGATGCCTTAGAAATATTGCTGGCGTCTGCTGGGATCACCGGGTAAGTAATAGGAAGGTTAGACGCAGGGTATTAGGAAATGATGGTAAATCAGTTGATGAGGTTGTGAAACTTCATCGACTGAGATGGTTGGGCCACGTGTTACGTATGACCGAACACCGATTACCACGATGTGCAACGCTGACAGGTGTTCGAGATGATTGGAAGAAAGTTAGGGGCGGCCAAACCAGAACGTGGCATCAGTGCTTGAAGTCACTTCTGGTTTGAGCCATGTTGGGAGATACAGACTACTTGGTTGGGGTCCGCGATACTATCGTAACCAATGGTTGGAGACTCTTGGTGACATGCCTCAGAATTGGCCACAATGGCGTCGGTGTATACACTCTGTCTTCCCTTAAACTAAGTGATTAAAATCGCTTCATATCTTTCTACGAACTAATTCTTTCTTCCTGTACTATATCCTTATTGCAATCTTTCTTTTATATATTACCACCTCTGAATTAACTACTTTTATGAATCTGGTGTCCATCTTGTTGTGTTAATGGGGTATGGCAACTTGAACCGATGCATATATATGCCTGGTCCTACGTTGTAGCTGACTGACTGACTTCAAATCCTCACACGAGACATTGATAGGGAAGAATTAAAGGCACTGTCGCTTCGAACCGGTGGTGTTACAGTCAGCCGTCCGAGGTTGCGTCAATCTGGCTGCGGGTTACACAGCTGTCTAGAACGTGTAAAGCAACCACTTAGGCAGTGCGTGTCTTGTGTATCATAGATATGTTGGTCTAATCACAAATCGGATATACTACACAGGAAATTCCGTCCATTTTTTAAATAAAGCACAGACCGCAAACAAAACCTCCATAAATGCCATTTGACTTCAACTAAGTTTACTTTGATACATATAACTCCCTCTATTATCTTATCTTAAAGAGATAAGACAGAGATTGCTGCAGACCATCTTACTTTGTTAGGCCCTCATCAGCTACTTAAGACCAATAATACTTCGAAGTCAAAGTTATCACAAATATTGACATACTTTATTAATACGAAAGAGGTCAGAGAGGAGTATGTGTGTCATGACATAGCGAAGATAGAAGTTGATAAGGTCACAAAAATAAAACTTGAGAGGGGAAGTGCCAGAACATTGAATCAGTGATTAGAACTTAGAGTTAACAAACATGAGATGATTGTATAATGAAGTGATTGAAAACGGACTAATGGTAATAAAGAAAGACGTCAGTTGAAACCAGTCAGTTATAAATCTAAAAAATTACAATGATATAATCCAAACTTTGGGAACAGTAGAAAAAATGAATGATGCAATAAAAAGGATGTAATGTTACCAGGGCAAAGAAAGACTTAGTTCCCTTTAGGTTACATAAATCACGTTCCAGGTGTTTTATCGCTATATTCTCGGGAAATCTCAGGAGATCGGAGTTCCATTGTTTACCAGTCACCTTGAGAAACTCCAGTGTATCCGCCTGATGTCGTGTGTCAAGATGTTTCGAGATGGCACTGCTGAATACTTTTAATCCACTTTGACTTTTTGGAATTTGTCCTTTAAAGCGGACGTAGGCTCCTCTTTCTGTTCTACTAATGTATCTGCTTTTGCGAATACATATGAATTTTTAAAAACGCAATTGGTACTAATATGAAAAAGGATACCTGCCAATCTTCGAGTGTGTTATAGAACATCATGTTTTGGACAAGACAAACAGTTTAGCTGATAGATGTCATGATACAGTCATCCCTAACCTCTTTCGTATATATCCGTAATGATTGGTTTGGTAGCTCGTAAGAAGCTGATGAGGACTTAGCGAAATAAAATGAATAATTAATATTTCGCATCAATCTTAATTTCTGCTCTCTTTAACAATTATTTTGGTTCAATGCTTTCGAAGCCTAACGATTATTTCACTTAATAAAGATTGCAATTCATTGATCTCATTCCCTAAAAATTATTAGAATTTAGAACAATACTAGTACTTTACTCGCCTGTATTTTCAAGACTTATTGTTTGTATAAATGTACATGAATCAAAATTCCCGCAAGCAGAAAGTATTGGTTCTGAACTAATTGTTTTCCTGAAGTTGATGGCTGATAAAAGTAAAAGTATTTGAATATTCGACTTTTGCATTCTTTAAGGACATTCGAATAGTAACAAGAGTTAAAAGTGTTCGTGAATTAATTTCTTGAAAACAGAACTATCATAAGGAAAGTTCACCGAAATGAAATTAAGCCGGCATCGATGAGCTTCATTAGTTTGGATGCTATCTCTGGGTTATTAAGGTGTGCACGAAGTGCAGTAGGATCTGACATCTGATCTAGAATAAGGCGCATGGCTGGATCGGACAAGATGGAAGCTATTTCAGGATCGTTCATAGCACGCTTGCGAGCAGCTTCTGGATCGTCATCATTTGTATATGATTGACTGAGACCTTCTCTAGCTTCCGAACAATCTGGATCTAGCTCTAGAGCTTTCCTGAAAGATTGAAAAACATAAAAATCATGTAGCGTTAACGAATCTTCACACTGATACGTTGTTTATTAATTTTACAGCCAAGTAGCTTATTTGTTGCATTTCACCAGCAGTTGTACCCAGCACTTCAGTTAAACAAGCACATGAAATTTTCTGATGTATTCGACTTCTGCCCACAACCTGAACCGCGTAGTGTGAGACTGATGACATTCTCAAGTGACATACATTTCGACTTAGGTATAACTCGGGGTGAAATGCAGATCGTTTCTCTCAGGGTAAGTTTGCCTCAGTATAGTGGTGCGATTGACTTAGAATCTGGTGACAAGCCAAGCATAGAAATATATATATATATATATATATATATATATGACTTGAACATAGTGTATTCATGAACAAAGCACTTGTTATGTAGCAGACGTTGGCTTACTGCAACATTACATTGAATAAGCAACTTATAACTGTAGGGTCACTGAATAAATGTGTGCTCCAGGGGTTTGACCTCGCATCCCTAAGAGTGCCGCTCGTTTGATAAGTCAAAACCAGGAAAGACATCTAGAAGTAGATTCGTAAAGACGGTTTAACTGAGGTTGTTACGCATTACTGTTAAAAATTTGTCAGAGTAAATTTTGAAGTCCAATAAACATGGTGGTCACTTTATTTGATATATCTAAAAACTTTGGTTATTAAATCGTTTAGTGGTGAGAGTAGTCTCGAAAGTCCGTATAATACTTTTGTTGGGTTTTTAACTAACCATCAGCAACCTGAAGTTCGGAAGGAAAAGTTGGGAGGGTTGAATTTTTTTTATCTAAGAATACCGTAAAATAATGAGCATTAGATGTAGGAAGTTCTCTACTAATGTGAGTGCATTTTTATATCCACCACTGGCCTGTCTTTGGGAATTGTTTATTAAAACATCTTGTCAACTGTTCAGGAGACATATAATTTGTCACTAATATTGGTGCACATCACCGGTTTTAATTGTAGCTACTGTGAATTTGTTTTCAATTCAGTAACGCAGCAAAGCTGTCCGAGAATGTATTCAACTGATATTTTTAGTTCCAAATGATAACAGGCAGATCACTTCTACTTATAACTGTTGTGATTTTATTACAAAAACAATCTCGTCGACGCACATACACAGGTGACTATAAATTGAAGTAATTATGATTGCTAAATGGCCTTTTTGGGCGAATGATGGTGTATAAGCATTTTCAACCAAATGTAGAGGATAATTTTACAGTTAAGCACAAAACCCCGATGATGAAAAATCACTTAGTAAGCTAGACTTAATAAATACAGAAAGAATGTGTTTCATAGCTATTACGAAATAGTGAACTGACGAATAGTAGCCCAGAACAGGGCAATATTTCAAAGAAAAACTCAGCTCTTATGAAGGTTGATAAGTACTTTCTTCTGAGGAATGTACAATAGTAAGTCGTATACTGATGGAATACACTACTGTCAAAATAATCGTAACGAACACACACTCAGCATCAAATTTGGCTTTACGATACGAAACATTGAGATTGGCCATCTATACTAAAGACCTAATGAATATCCGGAGCTAAATAGTTACTTATTGTTGCGCTTTTTTGTTCGGTTTATTTGAGAAGTGCTTATTTTCATTCTGAATGGTGTTTGCAAAGTATGAAGCTATCAACAAAAATGTCGTTCGCGATGACTTTAAGATGCCTTACGGAGCTTATATATTCGACTGACGAGATCACTAATAACACAATTACCCTAAGTTGTTCAAAAAGAAATAACGTCCCACGATGTAGGGAACTAAGAACTGCTAATACACATCCCCCATCACTGGATTACGTGTGGGTTTATGCGTCGTATGTTCAAATGTTCGGTCAGTAATAGTAATGTACTAAAAAACAGCCTGGTTGTGGCTCGCCACAAACAGCTCCAATTTCTCCACTAAGCACAAGCCTTTGGAACAAAATGCATGCCTAATCAGTATGTTTGCTTACTAAATTAGCTAATTACTTTCAAATCTTCTAAACATAAATGTATTATTATCTAACTCTGGTAACCAAGTTCTGTAGAGAAACTTAGGATTGCAAACTCGGTCAACATCTGAAGAACAAACAAAGACAGACGTCTAGGTAAATTAACATTTAAAGACCATTATTGTGATGAGTGGTCAAGACGCATATACTAATGACTTTGGAATTGATTCATTGTGCAAGGCTAACAGTCTACTTTAATGATGCTACTCCAAGAGAAGCTGGTAACAAGTATCATTGCCGTTTGTAAAGGAACTGAACGCTAACCATGTCGATTAATTTACAACAGACAAGAGTTTATCCATGTTTAAGACATGGACACTTGGTACCATCTAGTAAAGTTTAATGTCCTAAACTAAAAACTGGAAAAGGCACAACCAGATAGTTATTGCACAAAAAACCGATGGAAAATTTTCTGAACATACCGAAAAGCTTTCCTTGCTTGAGTAAAATCCTTCATAGCATTGCATGCTGCTCCTTTCCTCAGGTAACCTTTGATAAATTTCGGATCTGCCTCGATGCACTTATTACAATCACTAACCGCTAAAGGAAACTCCATTAACTTTGTGTAACATGCTGCACGATTACTATACAGTTTTGCGTCAGATGGATTTCTCTTTATAGCCTCAGTGTAATGTTTTATGGCAGCTGGGTAATCACCCTTCTGATAACATTCGTTTCCCTTGACTTTCTCCATTTCTGACATCTCTGGGTTAATATATGCTAACCTTTCCATTTCCTTCATACGATTTTCTAAAGCTCGAGCACTCTTCTCAACATCTGGTTGCTTGGATTCGGACAGTGACTTGTCGTAATATTTTTTTGCATTAGGATAATCTTCTTTTTTCTCACAAGCATGAGCAGCACGCGCGAATGCTTTGGCTATCAATTTGAAGTCGGCTCTGTTTTCTCTGCCTATCTCAACAGCCTCTTCACATATCTCCACGCACTTATCATATTCACCTTTCTCGTAATACACTGCAGCTTTGTTTGTGTAGTACGTTATGCACGTTGGGTCAAGTTTTATTGCATTGTCGTAATGTGTGATCGCAGCTTCGAAGTCCTTTTTTTTATAAGCGTCATTACCCTTTTCTTTCTCACTATCTGCTTCTGCACGCCCCATGACGACAATTAGTAGCTCAGTTAACGTTCCAGAACACTCAGTGGATATCAGGAATAACCGACGCACTCGAACAAATTCGTTCAAGAAACAATATGGCGATAGTTTGATAGCATTGAAGTAGCACTAACAGCCTGACTTCTCTAAATTATTAAGTAGGCCTATAATTTGATATCTTGACTTAAAACTCAATATTTAAAGATGAGGTAACCTACAGGAAACATAATACTGACGCCGAGAAAAATTATAGTATATTCAGACTTAAGCAATAAGGATAGAATATCCATCGACCTATATTACTCCATGCAGTTTGTAACACTATGGAGGTCCAATCTCGTTTTGAATATATCAAAAGAATACTCTGATATTACGTGTTCTAGTAGATAATTCTGGTGGATCACCACTCGGTGTGAGAAACGAAGCTCCAAACGTAGACGATTCAATTTCTGTTTTCGAACTTTCTTAGAATATACTCCCAAATGATCAGTCCTAGACGGAAGGAAAAGATAAGACAGATTAGTATCAAGGTCATCGTGCAGTATACGATAAATCAATGTTAGATCACCCCGTATTATACGGTAAGATAACGGAAATGAGTTAAGGTGTCTTAGTCTGTCTTCATACGATAGACCAGAGAGATATTTTACCATTTTAGTTCCCCGTCGTTGGACTCGTTCCAGTACATCTGCTTCATACTTGGAACAAGGACTCGCTGCTTGAATTCCATATTCCAAATGCGGTCTCACGAAAGTTACACGGAAATTCAGAATTACTAGCTGAATCAGATCGAGCAAAAGCTGAGAATTTTTCAGACTATTTTAGCGAAGTCTTCTCTACGTTTATTGTAACAAATACTTGTCCCACTCACACCAAGATACCAACCATCGAATCTGTACAGGTGACTGAGGAAACTGTCCTTCCGTTGATAACTAACCTCAAACCCGATAAGAAACCGGGCCCTGACGAGTTACATCCATGGTTGCTGTCATCTCTTGCCGACATTATTTCAAAACTGCCCGCGACACTCTTCAACATGTCCCTTTCACTCGCTCAACTCCCTAGAGATTGGAAGGACGCTATAGTCAGTCCTATATTTAAGGACGGTCAGCGACAGATAGTATCTAACTGCCGGCCTGTCAGTCTAACTAGCATAGTCGTTAAGTTACTTGAAGAGATAACTCGGGTTAGGTTGCTAAGCCACATAGATTTACACAATCTGTTAGCTCCTGAGCAACACGGATTTCGTAACAAGCGTTCATGCTTGACTAACTTGCTCACTGCGAGGGAGGATTGGACAGCAGCCCTAGATAACGGTCTGTCTGTCGATGTGATATTCATAGACTTTAGCAAAGCATTTGACAAGGTCTCACACTTAGGTCTTATGCAGAAGCTCACGAGCTTCGGAGTAATAGGTACTGTACATGAGTGGATAGGAGATTTCTTATGTGACCGCAGACAGAGAGTGAGGGTCAACGGAACGCTATCCGATTGGAAGCCGGTCAAAAGTGGTGTACCCCAAAGCACCATCTTAGGCCCTCTGTTCTTCCTTCTCTACGTTAATGAGCTACTGATGTTAGTTAGGTCGTCGACATTATTGTTTGCGGATGATGTAAAAATCTGGAGAACAATAAAAAGTGCGGCTGATCATCTGGGTCTTCAAGCTGACTTAGGCGATTTAGTTAGATGGGCTCGAGAGTGGAGGCTTAGAAATCAATGCTAGGAAGAGTATACTAATACACATCGGTCACGGTAATAGTTACCGTTACACTATTGAGGGTAAACCTCTTCCATGCGTTCAAGAGCATAAAGACTTAGGAGTAGTATTAAGTCATGATTTAAAAACAACTACGCATTGCAAAGCAGCCGCTGTCAATGGTTTTCGTGCGTTATGGTCACTTCGCCGAGCGTTCAAATCTTTTGACGAGGAAACGTTTAGAATTTTATATCCCATATATGTTAGACTACATTTAGAGTACTGTATTCAAGCAGCTGGCCCGTGTCTGGTAAAGGATACTAACTCCCTTGAGCGTGTCCAGCGTGTAGGAACGAAATTAGTGAAGGGTCTTTCTAGACTCCCTTACGATGAGCGTTTAAAACGCCTAAATCTTTTCCCCTTGTCGTATCGTAGGACACGAGGTGACCTTACACTGGCATTTCGTATCTTTAATTATGATTTGGGTGTTAATATGTCTTATCTTTTTGCTCCCTCCAGCACTAATAATCTCCGAGGTCATAGCAAGAAGGTTCATAAACCACGATCTAACAAACTTAAAGTGGTGTCCCGTTTTTCTCACCGAGTAGTCAATGATTGAAACGCCTTACCTGAACAAGTGGTATCAGCCCCATCAGTGAATACTTTCAAGGAGAAGCTGGACCTTCACTGGAAAGCAATGTGTCAGGATTAATACAGGTTAACCAATCTACTATCCTTATTACTGAAGACTGAAGACTAATAATCTAAACGTTTCTCCGTCCAAGTACTGAAATGACTTACGAATAGCCAATACTAACCTAAAGTATTTGGCAGCAGCGATCTTGCAGTTGCTCGTAGTTTTGGGGTCGCTGCTTATTATAACTCCTAAATCTTTATAGTCCATTACTTTGGGTGACACAACTCCACGTATTGCGTAGTGATCCAAGTTGTCGTAGTTGTTTAATTGCATCACTCTTGTTAAGATTCACCTCTACAGGATTATCCTGATCCATTGGTCCCGCTTCAAAGAACTCCAATCTTTTTATGGCTAATTTCAATAGAAACTCGTACAATTAAGTTGATAACGCTAATGAAGCTCGGTTTTTTTCAAATACACCGAAGTGTAGAGATTATTCAAAAATGTGAAATTAGCAACGTGGTGGAAAAACAGTCTGAAGCATTTACACCTGAAATATATCTTTACGAACTAAGAATTCGCGACGTCCCTGGTTCAAATGGTTCAAATGGTTGTAAACGGGATCACCAAATCCTCCGGGCAGGAACCTAGGTATGTTGACAATAAAAGAGGAAAAAGGATTTGGTAAATCATAATGTGTTACTATCCTTAGTCCTTAAGAATAGGTCAAGTTGCCTCTTGAAGGACTCCTGGGAAGTCGCTTGGACTAGCTCGGCCGGCAGCGAGTTAATAAGCTTTTAGGACTAGAGGCAAATTTGTCCGTAAGTTTTGTCTGGTACTGAAGCCTGTCTTCTCTTATAGCCTTCGTGCATATGTTCCTGATATGTTTATATTGCTTGTACGCTCCGTCGTTGCCAGTTCGTTCGTATTCCTCCCATCAGTGCCTTTTGAGGCTTAGCAGGGGAAGGGTACGGTTCTTGATTATTGTAGGTGGCTTGCAGCTTTTGGAAACCGTTTGAGGAACTAAATGGCTTGTAGCACATAAGAGCGTGTGCAGTAAGAAGTCCCAATAACCGTCCACATCGAGTTGAGGGTGAACATCCCAAGCCACCTGTTGTAGATAGTCGTGTAGAGCTGGCACATTCAACCGTTTAAAATTCCAACGCAAGTTATTGTAGGGAGATCTTAGCTTAGTTTTGCTGACAAAACTGAAGGCTATGACGGGAACCCAGGATTGAGAGGTTGTCAACTAGGAATTCTTCGTTTGTGAATACACAGTCTAAGCGCTATGGTGTCTGACTGTTTCTCCAACGAGTTGCCGACCTCACATTTTCGTATAATCCCAAGTCATCGATGAGGTTGAAGAACCGAGCTTCAATTGAGTTATCGCTTCCAGTATACGTGTGATCCGCGAAGTTGACTCTAGGGAGATTAAAGTCCCCTAGAATCAGGATGTGTGTGTAACCGAGACGAGTAGAGCGGGATGGCCCTTCCAGCATACGACTATCGTACTCAATGTCGGCAGTTGGCTTCCTGTAAATGACTCCGACTAGACACCTCGAAGTACTAGACAATCTAACAGAGTACCATATGGATCCCTCAAGATTGTTAAACTCGAGGTTATGAACTTGGTGCACCTCCAAGCAAGAACGTATGTAAACAGCTACTCCGCCCCCAAATCCTGATTTTCTGTCTTTGCGGAATAAATACATCCCAGGTAATGCTAACTCTTGGTCCGAGAACTGAGAAGATACCCAGGTTTCCGATATTCCTATCAAATGGGCCTTGTTAGAGTTGCTAAGTTCACGTAATTCATCCAGTTTGTTTGGTAGACTCGCGGCGTTCATATTTAAGCAGTTTATTCTTTCAATTTGGAACGCGTGAGCTTGGTCCTGTTTGTCTGTATGAGTCTTACGTGAATGGACAGGTAGCCCACCTATATGAGGTTGGCCGAGGTGGTGGGCCCTGTTCCCTACACGTTTTTTTAATCATCTAGACGGTCCTCAAGGGAAATGGTCAGCTTCATCTTGCCTTTGTGTTTGGTCCTAGCTTCGTATGGCCTATCTGGGTGCATGTGGAACCCAGGTAGCAATCGACGTCTGTTTGCATGAAATGCTTCCAGAGTTGCAGCCGCCATGTGGGAGGATGGGAAAATTATCTTCATCAGACGGGGTCTAGGGTCACCATCCTTCTTGGCTAGTCTCGTCACATGCTGAGTCAGTATGTGTTTGAGCCTCATGGACTGGTTAATGAATTTCCATTCCCTGACGTCAGAGTTTGATTGAGTAGGGTCTGTATTTTCCGGTATACCTTGCACAATTATGTTTCTTCCGCGGAAAAACTACTCGCGAGATTCTTTAGGGGTGTTCCGTATGATATTGCGCTCAGAGTACGGTATGTCGGGCAATATTCGTACCTCCCCATCAGATTTCAGAAAGTGACTTGCTAGCAAGACGTCCTCTACGTCGGTAGCATTCTTAAGTGTTACTCGAAGAAGCCTCGGGTGATTTAGATGCTTAGAATCCTTTCCTCGAGTGAGCCGGGTGACCGTCAAAGGGTCTATTCTGGGAAGTTCGAGCTTCTTGTTCAGTTCACCCCAGAGCATCCTATCATTTTTGTCCTGCAGACTGAGAGGAAAGTCAGGATTGTCAATGAGATTCGTGATTATGAGAGAATCGTCACAAACTGTTGCTGATTCGCCAGGTTTCCCGATGAGTTCAGGTTTAATACCTTGTTGTTTGGAGGTCAAGGC